CCGAGTCCCACATACAGCAACTAGAAGGATGTGCAGCTATGACATACAACTATCTACTGGGGCTTTGGAGGGAAAAAAAAAAAAAAAAAAAAAAAGACTATGCTTACAACTCAAACACAGCTTCAGGAAAAGCCCCTGGTCCTTCCCTTCCCTGTCTCCACTCTCCCCAAGCCAACTGACACTCCTCATTGGTCTGTCTTTAATTGTTCATCCCAATCCGACCAACCTTCCTGAACAGTTCTTTTTAAAACAAAAGCTTTGGCTTTTTTATCAAAGGAAAAAGTGAATTGTCATCAACTCTCCCCTCAACCTATCCCACTCCCCAGAAATAACAGTTTTCTGTAGCTTAATACACACCAAGAGGCGGCAAAAAGGACAAGGGCCTGGCTTCTGGAGCCACGTTGAACCGGGGCTCGGCCTTGTGCTGGCAGTGTGGGCTCGGGCAAGCCTTCTCACCCCCCTCTGCCTCCATTCGCTCATCCGAGAGCCGGGGATATCAATAATATGTGCCTCATAGAGTTATTTAGAGGATTACATGAGTTAATATTTGTAAAGCACTTAGAACAGTACCTGTGTGTGTCATAAATATTTATTAAATAAACATATGTCCAGACTTTTCTCTGAGTACAAAGAAGCATCTACACACACATTTGTTTCTTTTTTTTTTTAAGATTTTATTTATTTTTATTTTTCCCCCCAAAGCCCCATTAGATAGTTGTATGTCATAGTTGCACATCCTTCTAGTTGCTGCATGTGGGAGGCGGCCTCAGCGTGGCCGGAGAAGCGGTGCGTCGGTGCACGCCCGGGATCCGAACCCGGCCGCCAGCAGCGGAGCGCGCGCACTTAACCGCTAAGCCATGGGGCCGGCCCCCACATTTCTTTCTTTAGTTTTTGTTTTTACACAAACAGGATCTTATTCTACATACTATTCGGCAACTTGCTTTTTTTACTTACCAATGTGGCTGGGCATCTTACCCATCAGTATTTACAGAGCTGTCTCATATTTTTATGTGATTGTGTAATATTCCCTTACATGGATACACCAAAACATGTTTCACAAGTCCTGCATTGATAGACATGCAGTTGGCGTCTAGTTTTTGCTATTACTGCCTGGAATTTTTGTGACCTTGTCCCTGCCTACATGTGTATTCCTGTAGGATGTATTCCTGGAAGTAAAATCGCATGGCAAAGGATATGCACATTTGACTTTTTGGATACACACTTCCAAATTACCCTCCAGAAAGCTTTTCTAGTTTGTATTCCTGCTGGGAGTGTAAGGTGGGACCTGTGAAATAATGTCCTGACAACCCTTTACTGCTCAAAACCTTTACTGGTACTTCCAGGGCTTTTACGTTGAAGTTCTTAGTCTGGCCTTCAAAGCCCACCATGATGGGACCCTATCTATCTTTGTAGCTTTAGCTGCTATTACTCTTATAAACCCTCTGCTTCAGTCAGGCCAGTGATTTTTAATCAGGGCAATTTTGCCCCCAGGGGACATGTGGCAATTTCTGGAGATGTTGGTTGTCACAACTGTGGGAAGAATGCTACTGGCATCTAGGGGGTAGAGACCAGGGGTGCTGCTCCACATTGTACAATGCACAGGACAGCCCCCTACAACAAAGGTTACCTGGTCCAGATGTCAGTAGTGCCATGGTCAAGAAACCCTGAGTTAAGCTTTTGACTGATCTCTAAGATTGCCTGTTAACTTACCCACCTCTAGCGCAGGGATGGACAACAGATTTTATCTAATGTGACACCTTCATTATATCCGTATGGGTAGTTAAAGAGCTGTCATGAGAATTCTGAAGCCTTGCCTGGGCTCAGTGGGGGAAAATGCTGTGTCTACCATTTACCAAATGTAAAGTCAAGTCAAGAGGGCAGGATGGTATCTCCTCCTTTTTTGTGTTTTCCAAGGTATCTCATGCATAGGTTTGTATACATAGTTGGTATCAAGTATTTTAATGTTGCCTGAATTACTGTCATCTTAAGAATGACTAGAGGTTCTTTGTAGGAACCAGCTCCTCTTCTAACCTGCCCCCTCATTTGCCATTGTCTTTAAGCCAAACATTTATATTTTCTGGTGTTTATTTCATATCTTAAAGAGCTTTGATATCCTAATAGGAGGCAATAGCTTGATATTTACTGCATTGTCTTGAAAATGATTGTTGAACGAATATAATTGTACAGCTTTTCCATTTTAGAAGACTGAATAATCAAAAAGTTTGGAAAGATCAACAGGCGTTGATCGCATAGTACCCTGTCAGTGGTACTTATGCTTGTACTTCTTATGGGAGGGAAATTATTTAGGTCAATTTTCCAATCTGGGTGAACCTTTTTTCCAGCGTTTGGGAGTAGAGATAGCTAGTCACAGGTTGGCCAACTTTATCTGTAAAGGGCCAGATAGTGCATATTTTAGGCTTTGCGAGCCATGTGGTCTCTGTACTGTTTCAGCTCTGCTCTTGTAGCTTGAAAGCAGCCAGAGACAAGACTTCAATGAATGGGCGTGCCTCTGTTCCAGTAGGACTTTATGTACAAAAACAGGTGGTGGCCATCGCTTGCTGAACCCTCTAAAACCATCAATATTTGGATATTTGATTGATGAACCTACATTGCAACTGAGTGGTTTTGAAAATGAAATAACTGGGTATAATGACTCCCCCTTTGTAATGATTGCCCTGGGAAAGGCAGTGATTTTCGACCTTTCTTTGCTTTCCCTTGTAGAGATGTGGTATGGTGTGTTCCTGTGGGCACTGGTGTCCTCTCTCTTCTTTCATGTCCCTGCTGGATTACTGGCCCTCTTCACCCTCAGACATCACAAATATGGTAGGTTCATGTCTGTAAGCATCCTGTTGATGGGCATCGTGGGACCAATTACTGCTGGAATCTTGACAAGTATGTTAGACATTAAAATACCAGTCAAAACGTTTCATATGAATAGTCAGTTCATTTCAGGACCCATTTTAGAAACATGTCTGAGTGGGATAAAGAAAAAAGAGTGGCCTTTAACCACACGTCCTGTTTTTTTATGTATCGTTTCTTTTTCACCCCCAACTCCCCATTATTTGGCTAACATCTTTGACTTCCTGAGTCAGATTTTCTCTCGCTGGCTTCAGAGAAGCCTTAAGTTAAGCTTTGTGAGATAGGTCACTAGCAAAAGAAAGACATTTGTCTTTTTGGAAGCTACTACTCCTTTCTCATCAGCTCGCACCTGACTGATGGCATCACAAGATGGTTGATGAATTACTTCCCCTCATTCAGGTGTGATTACTTTAAGGACTGAAGAATAATTCTAATGACAAGAATTCTCATTTAGAAAAGTACCTAGTTATTTTTTTCCCCTCAATACTTTCTGAATAAAAATTGGAGTAACATAAATTATTTTTACCTGGTTTTTTTTGGCCTTTGCTCATGTCACAGGGATGAGAATAAGTTTAAATCATTTTAAAGCTCATAATTAAATATAAATAACATGTATATTTTATATAAATTAAAAATTATAAGAAAGCAAAAGTAAACATTCTCCATTGCTGCAGTCCTAAATGATAACCACAGTTTGCATTTTGGTATATGCTTTAAGATTTTTTTCTAGGTATACATGTAAACATAAACATATTCTTTTTTTTTTATAATTTTATTTATTTATATTTTTATCCCCAAAGCCCCAGTAGATAGTTGCATGTCATAGCTGCACATCCCTCTAGTTGCTGCATGTGGGACGCAGCCTCAGCATGGCCGGAGAAGCGGCGCGTCGGCACGCGCCCAGGATCCGAACCCGGGCCGCCAGCAGCGGAGCGCGCGCACTCAACCGCTAAGCCATGGGGCCGGCCCCCATAAACATATTCTTAAAAAATAGAAACATAATATTTCTCCTACTTTGTATTTTTTTCACTGTGAATTTAAACCTTGAGCTTCAAGCAGATACCTCCTTCTGTCTCTTGAGAGTTTTTTCTGGGACAAAGTGGCCTCGTTTGTCTGTGTTCTGTAGATGATGAAACCTTTGTGATAACACAGGGAGGAAGCCAGTTTTCTCCTGCCTGCATTAAAGAGTTTCCATAACTGGCCCTTACAAGCTTTTTAACTATCTCACCTACTGTTATCTTCAGGGACCCTCTGCTCCAGTTTCCTTACTGGATTACAGGCCCTGAGGACCTGTTTCAGATTTCTCATCAGTAAAATAACGATGATAAACCCACCTCATATGCTGTGTGATGACTAAATGAAATAACGTGTGTACAAAATACTTAACAGAATATCTAACACATAGTAATTGCACAATAAATGGCATGTTCATTCTGTCTTTAAGACTAGTGCATAGAATCTGTTTCCTTCCCATTTTGCTGCTCCTTCTGGTTTGCTTTTTCCTTTCTTCCCTTCATCATCATCCAAATCCCACGTTAGGGCCCAGTTCAAGTTCCTTAAGCTTCTTTCTACCCAGCTCACGTTTTTTGGAGCTAAATTATGAAGGGGCCCAATGGAACAGGTGCCTTCCAGATGTTAGTCACACAGTGTGCATGCAGGGCCACTGGAGGTGGGCATTTCAAAGTTGCAAATGTTCCAGGCAACCAACACGGGTATTGGTTAATATTGTTCTTTCTTCTTCTTAAAATATGTTAATATACCTTCACATCACATTTATAAAATACATAAACATTTGATTGAGGTTCTATATATTATCTTGAATTATTCAAAATCTGTTTCATGCTTGTGCTGTCTTTTGTCCCTAGCTAGATTCTGAGTATTGTGAGAATAGGGATCACATCTTATAAAACATAGATGTAAATAAATATTTGAATGAATGAATACACTGTGACCAGGGAGAATTTTGTTTGGAGAATTTTGGGGAGGGGGTGTCATCTGGGAACTTTGGATCTGTCCTTTCCAAACTAATGAAATCTTGACTTTCTTGATACAATGCTGAGTCCCTGCAGCAATTCATATGGGTACCTGTGTAGATACAGAATTGAGTGTTTGTTTTGTGTACTCAATTTCTAGGAAGCTGTAGTGACTAACATAACAAAAACGATTAACAATATGGGAACAGAAAGGAATGCCTGAGGATCTCTCCTCTCATGCCCTTTGAATTAATAGATTTATAAGCTTAGGGTCCTCCTTTCTTCCTTTTCCACCCCCCTCCTCCCGCCTCCATCCATTTCTTGAAGGGAACCGAGTATAGTAGAAGGTGGAGTGGGGAGTCCCTGTGGCTTCTCCTGAAATATTTCTTGCTCAGTCCTACACAAAAAATTCTTTGTCATTTCTTGCCAAGAATGTATTAGGTACCTGTTAAATGCATGGGGAATAAAGGGATGTTTTTGAGTTTGTAATCAGGTCATGTGGAAATTGCAATCTTTGTGATTTGGGTTATGACTTCCAGATGATTTTATTCAGTAAATCTCAGTTTTAAGGAGTCACTTTTCAACATCTAAAAGCACGTCAGTGATATGCAAACCATATAAGGAATACTTAAAACCTAGAGTAGTCATCAAAAAGAATAGGGAAAACAAACATTTCTATAGTATTTAAATTTTAATGTAAAAAATCTGGAACATTCTACTTATAGTAAAATTTTAAGTGCTATATTTTCCTGAATATATTAACCTTGATTTTTTTTTTTTTTTAACATGCTTGAATTTTTGAACAGGTGCAGCAATTGCTGGAGTGTACCGAGCAGCAGGAAAGGAAATGATACCATTTGAAGCCCTCACCTTGGGCACTGGACAGACGTTTTGTGTAGTGGTGGTCTCCTTTTTACGAGTTTTAGCTACTCTATAGCATACACCCTCAAGCTATGATGTCGAACCTAAGTTTTATAGAATCCTCCAAAAGAATACATTATGGAATGTAGTGTTTTCTTAGTTCTTCAAGTGGAAGCACTCAGATGAAAAAGTATGCGAAGAACAACATCTCAGCCCTTTCTTCAGTTTGAAGTTCTGGGAATTGAATGGAAGATCTTTCTGGACTCCTATTATTCTCAACCAAAACAGATCAAGTTTCTTTTCTTTCGTTTTTTTTTTTTTTTTTTGGTAGATATTTAATTTAAGCGGTTTTACAGGTGCACCTTTACCCACGCCAGGTCGACAGTGCTTCTGGGTTAGCATCCTTTGCACTGAAATTTACAATGATCTGTGAGAAAATGCAATGTTGCATATTTCAGAGAAACTATAGAGAATATTGGTTTATTTCTGAGCAGAGTATACATACTAAAATCTTATTTGGTCTAATCTTGATTAAAATCTGGCAGACTCTTCTTTTGTTACATCCTCATGACAGTCAGTGCCAAGTAGGTTTCGGCTGAGTATAGCTTTGAGAACAAAAACAGAAAAAAAAATCTGTAACACAAGTAGTGGCTTTCATTCCACTATTTAAAGACAAAGGAGATACCCACAGAATGATGTGACATTTTATGGATAACTAGCTTGACCTCTAATTATTTAATATATTTTAAGAGATGTGAATTTCTTGTACATTTTGTGAAAATAAGCTAGCTAATGGAAACTTTTTTTTCTGAATTTCTGTACCGCTCTTTCCTATCAGTTTTATTCTATTAATTTTATTTAGTTTAATTGGAAACATACCATATTAAGTAGCTCCAGTTAGAAATTTTAAGCCAGAGCGGTTAGCCTACTCTTTTAACATGGAGGCACACAAAAAAAAGATACTTAAACATTCTGTTAGTTTTTCTTAGTGACTTTGGTTTATTAATGGCTCTTGAAAAATTGTGAAAGTGCAGCTTGAAGTAGAGTTCATGGTTATGGATTTCTTAGTCTTAACGTGCTTCCCTAGCAGTGGGTCTTCAGCCCACTTTGACAGTATTGGGTGTCACTCCCAGAAAGTGCCTAAAGTTAATTTTCAGATATCCTTCCACTGTGCCCTCTGCATTTTCCTTCAAGAGAATTTATATCCTTAAAGAGAATTAAATATCGAGAGTTTTTTTAACCCAATTTTAGCTGTTTTAATTTTTCTTCTACTGCCTTTCTTTTTCATTAAAAGGCCTGAAAACTGTGACCTTCAAAAGAGAATTGCAAAAATGAAGTATCTAACTTGATCCTTCCCACCTAAACTGTTTTGTATGGAATACAATCTGTTGTTTTCTGTTTTCAAAATAGTTTCTGGTAATTAAAGCTGACATTTTTAAAGGAAAGTTTTGATTGTGAGAGTAGGCTCATGAGGTCATGTGCACACGAATGTATCTGTTCCAATAAGAGCAATAGGCACTCGGCTTCTGGTTAAAAAATAGCCAGGAGGACCAATTTAACCAGAGATAGTCAAAGAGAAAAATTACAAAGAGATCACAAAAATTAACTGGACATTTTGTTTTAATAGGCCATTAGACCACTTGTCAAAATTATAGTGACTTATACTCAAGACCAGGTGGAAAATTACAAGTAGAGCTGGAATGCAGGCAGATGTCCTTAAAAATGCCCCAACAAGACTACCCTCCAATGCTCAAATCTTTCAAGCAAATTTTAAGTCTTTAGTTAAAGGCTCCATTTTTCAGTTCAAGGAGCTGTGATTTTGAAAAGTACCCCTTCAGTTTAAGAAATCTGTGGATGTTGTATCCTTTATTATAGGAAATGATTTTAATCATCTCTATTGAAGGATGCCTCTTAGCATTCTCACCTAAAACATTCCTTTGGATAGAATTTCACAAATTGAACATGTGGGCCAGTGGTTGGAGGGCCCCTCCCCCTGAACTAATTCTTGAATATATTGATCCATGATTTAAATGTTTGGTTATTTTTCTTTTAGAGCCACGACACAAAAATGAATGCATTTTGTTTCCATTTGTTTCTTGTTTGCTATATTTTGATTATCCACTCTTTTTAAAAACTTTAAATATAAAATGTATGTATCTTCAAATTATTGAATGTTTCATCCATCCCACTATGTGAATGTTCTCCTGTGAATAAATGTATATAGACTTTATATAGATTGAGCTTTGTAGCTTGAAATGTTTTCAGGGAGAAACTGTTTGATAAAGAATGTCTGTTCTCTCTTGTTTTTGTTGTTGTTTTTAAATTTCTCGTCTCAAATACACAATTATTTGGGGGTGGTTGCTGAGATGAAAAAATATTGGCATTTATGTTGAACATTTTATTTTACCATGTATAGTTTTTTGAGAATTTTTGCCAACAATGGCTTTCTTAGAGACATATACAACCACCCCTCCCCCAGCTCTGCACTCACTTTTCTTTTTCTTTATGCAGAGGAGGGAGGCAACCCCCAACCATAAAAGCTGATTTCTGGATTCTTTAATATGGGGATTTGGAAGTAAAGCCATTTCATGAAAACTTAAGTCCATATACAAATGCGTAATGAATATTCCAAGAGAAAGATGTCTCTCTGTGCTATTAACTTTTTTTTT